GTGGTATAGGAGTCTTTTACCTAAGTCATTGGATTGTGTGCAGTAGCACTAAATGAACCATGTCATATCAACTACATTGGGAAGTCCATCACACGATGACTGTAAAATGAAGAGTCAAACTGTGATAAAGAACAAGTTAACTGTCTCGCAGTACTTGAAGTCTATAAACACTGAGAAGGACAGACCATTGTTTAGAGTAGTCTAATGACTAGGAATAATGCGAATGAAATTAAAAAAAACATTTTTATTATGATATCTCTTAAACCGTAGAACAACCTAGTAAGGACAGGGTTGGACGTGTCATCCAGGTAAAAGCCCCAGTCAAAACTGGAAAGCACCTAGAATTACAATGCATGATAAAGAGTCGTTGTACTCGCAGAAGGATGGATGGTGTTATTAATATTTGCCTATCTCAATTCTTTACCATCTGCAGTAAAAAGGAGAAGCCAACAATTTCAACCCCTTATTTTCTTTTTCAGCACAAATTGAAGTGATACCATGCAAAATTTGTGGAGATAAGTCATCTGGAATACACTATGGAGTCATCACATGTGAAGGCTGTAAGGTATGAGACTTTCATACAGCTCTGTTGCTGGCATCAGAGTTAGCCTCAGGCAGCTGTGTACATAATAATGTAGTATGACACCCTTTCAAAGAGAGGGTGCCAAAGGCTGTAATGCCTTTTGCTGACATGCATGTGTTTCACATCTAATTTTACTAGTTACCTGCCCTTATTCAACAGTCAAACAATTACTAGAAACTTTAAATTATTAACAACTGATACAGTATAAATGTTAATACAGATGCTAATTGCAATATGTTGGGGTTGTCTTACTTCAAACAAACTTGAAAGCAAATTTATTGCATTATCTGAGATGCAATATGTACATGGTTGAGTTGATTTAAATGTGAAATGCACCATTTTAAATATTTAGAAGTTGATTTTGGTCCTCACTTTGGCTCTTTTATATTCCTCAGAGCCCATGAAGCTGCAGTTGCCCTGAGAAAAAATCCATCAGCTCAGGAGCACTGTAAATGGTCCTGGCACCTCCCTCCTTGTAGAGGATGGAAGGTGAAAGGGGGTAGAAAGCAGACTGAGCCTGTAATGTGCCAGTGATTTGGGGATGCAACATTAGCTTAAAGCAATTGTGGAAAGGTTGCCACCAGTTTAAAAAACTCCTGTGACTAGCATATGTAAAGGTGTTTTGCCACTTGCAACATGCCAAAATTTTCTAATACAAATGTTAGCATTTACAATTTTGACATGCTTGGGGACGCAGAAATGCAAAGGCCCCATTGACTTGTACCTTCATTTCATTTTGGAGATGCAGTCCTGTAGGTGCATGTTTTATAGGTGTAAACACACACATGTGCTCAGGGTGTAAAATAGCTGACTTCCCAGATATGTATTTAGTGTGTCATGATGGCTAAAACGTCTAAGAAATCCCAGTTCAGATTTCTACATTTCTAAAATAAAGAGCTTAATTTAATGCCAGTAAATTGAGAAGTGATCCATTGTCAAAGATCAGATCCTCCCTTTCAGAAACTTTAACAATTGTAAATGAAACAACCCCCTATTGTGACATGGCTTTATTGTGATAGAGGACTGGAAATAGGCATCTTTTATGATGATCACACAGAACAAGATTGCACTAACTGATCTGATACTTTAAAACTGGCACAAAAACAATAAAAAAGAAAATGCTTGAAGCAGAAAGAAGCTTCTTGTTTCTGTAACCAGCCTGTATACAGCAGTAAGGGGTAGAGTCTCCTGTAGATGTGATTAGTGTTAATGGTAGCCCTTGTGTGTGCCTCAAGAGGAGACGATACCCCTAAGCACTATGTGTAGACTGCTTACTGAGATAAGAAGCTCCTCTTCCAGTTAAAAGTGTTAGCTCTATTGTTTTTGTGCCAATTTTAAAGTATCAGATCAATTAGTCTAATCCTGTTTTGTGAGACTGTCATGAAAAAAGATGTCAATTTCCAATTCAGTACCACAATGGGAGGTGTTTCAGTTTGTCAAAGGTCTCTCTTAAGGTGTTAGCTCTATCTCAGACTGTGTAAATCATTTCACAACACTTAAATAACTGTTATTCAGCTTGCATGCTAATCGTGTGCCCAGCATTAGTACTGGCACATATATATCTCCCTTTGTCTGAATGCTTTAGAAATGGGAATTAACTAAGAACTCAGCTGTGTCCAAATATACAAGAAAGAGAGGGCTTACATGCATACACCTCTCCACAAGAACCACACACAATGGGCCTTTGCACTCACAGGACAATAAGGCGTGAGGACTCTAGGGCCACCAACAGGATTAGAAACCTCATAGGAAAGAAAGGCAACACTGTGCATTAGCCAATCAGAGCGACACCGGCATGGGGGAAAAGTGTGTGCGCGTTTTTTAAGATGTAAAGCAAACAGCACTGTTGCATTCCACAGCATGCCTGGATACCTTGGGTGAAATCCTAGCCCCATATACTTTAAGCAGCATTTCTCACCCCGTGGGTCACAACCCAAAAGTGGGTCGCAAAAATATATGAAAGGGTCACGAACAAACTTTAAAAATGGATTCTCCTTTAAAGGAGAAAAATGTGGGAGACTGTGGCTTTTACCTTGCTGGCTGAAGGCTGACACTGGGGAGCTGGGGCTTGAGGGTGGGGGGCAGCAGGTTGGGAGTGAGGGGCACTGCATGAGGACTGGCCATTGATGTTTACAAATGGGTCCTGGTACAAAAAAGGTTGAGAACCACTGCTTTAAAGGACAGCTTTGCCAGTAGTTTCCCTGTGGCAGGTTTTACGCAGGGTTACCATATGTCCAGGTTTTCCTGGACATGTCCCGTTTTGGGTCCTGCCATCTCCATCTGGGCAGGTGTTTTTTTAAAATATAATCAAATGTCCGGGATTTTGGCCAGCCTAGCTTCGAAGTTTTTCCTGGCTTAACCTAGCAAGGAGCTGCTTGGGACTGGTGCAAGTTGGGGGAGAGCGACTGGAGGCAGGGCACACACGCACATGGCTGGCATGCAGCCAGGCAAGGGGTGGGACAGCCCCAGAAGCTGAATGCGCATAGGTCTATGGGGGGCAACGGGGGGGGGGGCAAGGCTTGGGGGCTCTGTGTGTGTGTGTGTAGGGGATGGGGGTGGGGGTGGGCAGGTGCCTGCCAACACTGGGGGAAGCTGTCTGTGTGCTGGGGCTGTAGCAAGATAGGAAGTGCCTGCCCCCCTACCGGGCAAAGAGCTGTGATGAGGGGGAGACTTCAGGATGCTGCATGGCTGGGCTGGCAGCACCAGGGCCAGTGCCCTTGCTCACAGGGGCAGGGCATCTGGGAGACGCTGCAGGGCTGGAGGGAGCAGGGGGCTGTAGCTTGGGAGTGAAGTGCACCGGGGCAGGCAAGGGACTGTGGGTCAGGAGTATGGGGCACTGGCAGTGCCAGGGGGCTGCAGGTTGGGAGTAAGGGGCACTGGCAGGGCCAGCAGTCTTTGGGTCAGGAGTAAGGGGCAGCAGCAGGGCTGGGGGGCTGTGGCTTGGGATTGAGGGGCAGTGGAATGGGTAGGGGCAGTGCATCAGCATATCACTGCCCCTACAATCATATACCCCCTCCCCCCCACACACGTGACAAGTGTCCTCTTTTTTGGAGCTGGAAATACGGTCACCCTATTTTAACCTTTGAACTTACCTGTCTCTTTGGATCTTACTATTGCTAGAGACTTCACTAATGTTAGCAATTTCTCATCCTCTCTTTTCCAGTGTGGGAGAGGCTTAAAAATCTATCTACATTTCACAGATTAGTACTGTCAACTGAGGTAGGAAATAGTTAAATTATCTACCCAAGGTCAAAAGAATGACTCAGTGTTGAGATTTAGAATATTACTGTGGGTCATTGCCTTCACTACTCAAAAGAGGAATTTTTCTACGTCTCTTCCTTTTATTTATGGTATGATATTATACCATTGATATAATATGCAAATTATATTATACTTTCTAAGAAAGCATTTCAATCTAATGAGGGAAGGAAACGGGAAAAAATGATCTGCGCCCCTGAAATAAATTATATTTCGGAGACTAACTTTGAATATAATGCTTGATTTTTCTAAAAAGAACAAAGACAGACCCAGGTAAATTCCTGTGAGTGAAGTATAAGTTTTTAACTGAAAAAATATGTTCTATTAAAATACACTCTAAACTCGATGTGTTATTTTTTTAACTTATTTTTTAACTGTTAGCCTGAAACATAACATTGACTTCATATGATTCATCTATTCATTCAAATCCCTATTCACACAGGAATTGCAAAAATTGAAAACAGAATACCCTTTTTATGCCAAAAAGGAAATATGCAATAAAGTACAACAAACATATAAGAAATATCTCATCGTTGGCAACAAATTAGCCTTAAATTAAACCCACAGCCGGGACTTCAAGAAACTTTTTGTTATTCAAGAACAGATAAGTTAGCTGCAATTATTCATTAGTACCTATCCTAGAGAATGTTGCATTCCCAAAGGTACCGAGAATAAATTAAATAGACTAAAGTAATCAATAAGTAAAGATGTGGTTAGCCATGTTAATCCAAAGTCAGGCAAAAGGTATGGCAGGATGGCATCTTAAAAAGTAACTGGTTCAGAGGCCTGAGTTTTCTTGACTAAGTAGGTTGTTGTCTATGAAAGCTCTGGCTTCTCTGAACCGCCTGCCCCATCCTGCCATTTTGCCTAACATAACCAATGTAAGGAAGTTGAAATGGGACTTTAAAACTTTATAGTCAGGGGATGCTGGTATGTCTACCGAAACACAGGACCTATTAGCCAGTCCAAGTGTCACCTTAGGTCATCATTCACTCCACTAGGACTTGAAAGAAAATTCAAATGTTCTTTATATCAGATTTACCCCCAAAAAACCTTGTCTTTACTAAATGAAGGATTGGAGGGGTGAAATATTTTATTTGACCTTACAGTGAATACCTGGAAAAGATTTTAGACAAGGTTGTGGACACAAGGTACTTTAGGAAGGTTACCTTGTTCCTGACAGCGTTTTTAAGATCTCTGCCAAATATACAGCTGGTCCAGTAAAAGATATCACCTCAAAAACCCATTTCCTGGATCTCCTGTTTCTTCACTGTCACTTCTCATGACTTCATAACTTTTGCCACCATCATGACTTCTGGCTGTCATCCATAGTCCTCTGCTGAAATGATACTGGACCTATTGGAGCTATTGAACAAAATCAACTATTGTTTCCTTTTTCTCATTCAGTGCAGAAGTGCTTAATACACTGTCCTAGCATGACCCAACTAACCTGCTGCCACTGTATCCAGCAACTGATTTTAACATGTCTTGCTCCTAATGGTGCTAATTGCATGTTACAGTTTTTTTCTTCATGATTTCCTGCAGTTGTTAAAATCTCCGTTTTTTTTACTTTGGAACTGTGAAGTTGCCAGTTTCTAAAGCTACTAGGCTCTCCAATAAAATTCTCTCTGTTTTTCTCTTTCTGGACTCCCTGTTTTTCCTGTGCTCTTTACATTTCCTTGCTTTGGAGAAAAGAAAAAAAAAACATTTAGAGCTCTCCCTTTCTTATCTCTACCTGCTGGCTCCATTTCTCTTGACACTTCTGACGTTTCTTGTCACCCCTAACCTAACACTACCTGCTGTTGCCAGTCCCAGTGTCTGTGACTATTCAAGACATGAACTCTGGTTCTGGCTTTCTTATCCTCAGTCACAGAGTCAAACAGCCCAAGGGGAAAAAAAGAAAAAGGAAAAATAAAACAAATCACCAACCTTCTATTAAGACAGAATCACCAAAAAAAATAATTAAAAATGGATGCATGATTTTGAACCTAATCAGAGCTTTCTAAATTTTCTTTTGTGTTTACCTAACAGTAACACATTCCTTTAATGCAACAGTTCTCTGTATTTTTCCATGATAGTATTTAAAATCATTATTTTTCTTTCCCCTTGCATATTAACAGTACTTTAGTCATTAAATCCTAATGCATTTGTACATGCCTGAATTTGAATTACCTCTCACTCCTAGAATGTGGGGTCCCTCCAGATCAGTCTACTTGCACCAGATTATCCTAAGGAAAAAAGCAATATATTGCTTCTGCAGCCATATATAGTCAATGGATAAGCAAGCCCTCCACATCTGATAGCAGCAACCCCTTTTCCCTAAACACAAATAAGGTGGTCAGAGCAAATGGCTATAAGTCATCTGGTAACAAATGCAAGTCACCTTTGTATTAGGAGTGAGTGTTTTGATTAAGTTCAGTTTTTAATGAGAACGTACTGTATTTTATTACTCAATGCTGCTTTTGGCACTCTGACAAAGAGATCAATTTATATGCTTTACTGAATACAGTGTTTTCCTATCAGGAATGGACATTGTTTTATTTTGTTATATATGACTAGAGCATCAATAAAGTTGCATCATAAACACATTTTCACTGAATGAGAGATAATTGCAGTAGTACACTACTATGTATATGGTAATTCTCTCCCATTCTTCCCCTCTCCCTTTTCCTCTCTAGGGATTCTTCAGGAGGAGTCAGCAGAACAATGCCTCTTACTCCTGCCCAAGGCAGAGAAACTGTTTAATTGACAGAACCAACAGAAATCGTTGCCAACACTGCCGACTGCAGAAGTGTCTTGCCCTAGGAATGTCTAGAGATGGTAAGGACTTAGCTTCCTGCTTCACAGATAAACCCTTTGAAAGTGTTCTTCATTGCTGACTACTTAAACCCCCTACAGATTTCTGGAAAGAAAAAAGAAAAGCTTACTGCTTTATAACACGTTCACTGTAAAACATAGCTCTTTGCCATTCCTTAAACTCAGGAGTATTTTTCATGACATAAAAATAGACGGTAATGTCAGATTGAAACACAATAGTATGAAATGAAATGTGACATTCTCATCAAAAGCAAAAAAAAAAAAAAGGTTCACTTGTGGAGATTCACATTCTGGACTTGACAACAACAACATTTTACATTAATAGTGCGCAGTCCTGTTGTATCACCAGCCCTGACTCACAAAAGTCTTAGAGCTTAAGACAGTTTGATTTTTTTTAAATGACATTTGAAGGAAATATGGATCTTTGTAGCAATTTTAATTATCTGAAAGCATTTAACTAAATATAGCATTACAAAAGACCCCTTCATCCACCTCTGAACTGCAATGTGCAGCTATAGAGCAGTGTAGAAGAGAGCTATACCACAGCTTTGGACGACAAAAGAAAAAGCATTTTCTATACCGGTGAAACCCCCTGTGTGAAGTTTCACAAAGAGAGTCTTCTCTTAGTCTTTAATGAGTATTCGTCCAACCCTTCCCATCCCCTACCCACCCCTCTCTCCCATCCCAAAACTATGGCACAATTTGGTTTGTTTGGCAGCTTGAGACTACGAAATGTCTGGGACTAATATCAGGAACTGCGTTGTAGATCATCATCACTGATGTGCAATGGCAGAGCTGTATAGAGAAACCTGAGCAAAACTGCTGAGCTTTTACCTGCCCCAGCTACAGCTGTTACTTTGGATTGTTCTCAGATCCACAGTGTGACCTTTCAGTTGTCAAATAATGCAGAAGAAAACAAAAATATCCCTCTCTGAAGGCAAAATACCTTAATTTATTAATAAATTTAATAATTAATACAATGTAAATTATTTTGGCACTATGTCCTTGAGAGTGTTTGAAAACATATACCATTTGAATTTATTTACATGTGCACAAGTTTTGTCTATCACCGGATAACGGACTATCTTAACAGTCACAGGATGTTCCAGGGTTGTATATTGCTTCGAGCCTCAAATTGTGCTATTCTTAGGGTACACATCTGAACGCCCAATTGTACAGATATGCAGAGGGCTTAAAATGCCCCCAAAATGGCATGCCCAATCTAAACCGTTGTACCTGAGTAGCACAGCCCTGAGGCTGGGAAAGCCCAGCTGCTTGCACCAGCCCTGGGATTGTACTATTTCCACCCAACCTCCCATGCCCAAACCTGACAGCCTACTGCCAGTCGAGGTGTAGGTGGCTTAAGGTAAGTCTCCTACACATAGACTGGGTACAGCAAATGCTTGTTCACAACCTTAAACAGTACTTTGCTCCATAGGAATATTTCATGGTATAAATTGCTTTCCACTGTGAATAAGGGTATCTCAGTCTAGCAAGTAATAAGGAAAGTCAGCTTGGTCACTAGTATGAAGCATACTTTGTTCTTAGCCTTCTGTTTCTACCCTAGGTAGATTTGAAGCTGGCCTCTTTCGATAATTAATCAGTGTATATTCTCGGCCTAAAACAGTGTCCCGTGACTGCACTTTAGGGCTTTGAGGTGTCCTAAGGATATTTGTATTTGCTAGTATTTTGACCCTACCCTATCAGAGGACAGTCCTTAGTCTGTGGCCCTGGGACTTCCACAGTGTAGCTGAGCAAAAGGATTTGTTTCATAGTGCTGCTTTCTTCTGACACTGATGAGTATAAACACTTTCATATAAACAATGGTATTGAAGGTTCTTGCTGGTTTTGAATAGTTTTTATTGATTTTTTTTCCCTTTTCACAAAGAAATCACATGTGAATTTTACCTCTCAGCCATATAGTAGACTCATTTTTATCATGCGGAGGCAGGATGCTAATTGACAGCAGCTGGAGAATCTAATTAATGAATATATAATGAGGCTAACCAGTGGGTGTTTGTTTCTATTACTGAGGCCCTAAAATTAAAGAAAATGTGCAGTTGCCTTTTTCAAAATAAGGTCATTGTGGAGTCTTTCTCCCTGCTCTCATCCAATGAGGGTAAAAGTAGGATAAAGTACAAAATGGGCAGATTCACAAGGCTGCATTAATGGTAGCATAAACTGACAGGCTTCCCCAACAGTGGATGGAAAGGCAAGTTTATAGTCTATTGTATTTCTGTTTTTTCTTTCTTTTTACCTTCCCTCAGTCTGCAAGTTATACTTATGTTCACACAGACTAGATGGCTCGTGACACTTCTCCAGGGAAACCTGCAGTGAGCAGAGGTGTTAACTGGCCTTAGTGTAAGAAAGAACCAGACCCAACTCATACTTCTGTTTCAATCATTTGGCACCGTTGTTCTTTACAGAGCATGGTGTATGCACCAAAACAAATACTTCCATTCATGTTGCTGAATTTAAATACACTAAACATGAATTTAATATATAGATAGATTTAAGATCTTTCAGCAGCTTTAGTAGTCAGTCCTCATACTAGATAAAAGGACAATTCCATACTTCATTCCATAACTACATCTCCAAAGAGGGATAATCTAGTGTCTCACAGTTCCTCTCTTTTGCTTTGTTGGAAACCCTCAGGGCTCCATCCTCTTTTTCCACCTAGATGTTCCTGACTGAGTGACCACATCTGTTGTAAAAGCTTAATTTACCATCTCTGCACTGAGGTTCCCCAGATCTGCCCCAGTATAATTCAGAGATTTTAACACCAGATGGGAAAATTATGATAATCTAGCCTGACCTCCTGCAAACTCACTCAGTAATTCCTTCATCAAGTGTAATAGCTTGTGCCTGAACGTACACACACAGCTTCGTAAGTTCTCAACCCCTATTTAAAGATTTCAGTTGATGAAGAATCCGGTTTGCACTCTGACTTTGACCTATTCCAGAAATGATGCTCTTTCATTCCTTTCTCACCAAGGGAAACGAACGTGCACATATTCTATGTGGATGATATAAATATGATTGTGTAAGTTCCCAAGTCCTGCCTTTGTGAAAAATGTGCCATTCATCTGTGATGTTTACCTTCAAAACTGCTATTTTCCTCTAGGTCCTAACTCTAACCTGTAACATTCTTTTAAAAATAGGAGTGTGAAGATAACACCCCTTGAAAGGAAGCGATAATAGGGCTTTAGGGGTCTTTTTCATCAGAAGGTACTAATCCTGTTAGTGCACAGTTTAAGGGTTTGTGGAAAGATGATAAATCACATAGGATACAAATCTAAAGTCTGTACATTTTATATACCTCTGGGTTGTTGTTTAGTGAACATGAGGAGGCATGGAAAAAATGCATGGTCTTTTAATATTCACAAAAGGAATTAAGTTGTTTGTGTGAGTTTGACTGAGGCCCTTTCTGTCAAAATAGAGCAGTGTTAGCACCTTGCAGAACAAAGAGTACAGTACTTCGTTCTTTGTGAGGTCTTTTTTGTCTGAAGCTTTGTATCACCTCTGTTCTCCTCAGTAGAAAGGTATTTCCTGAGCTAACCTAATGTTAAAAGTAACACATCAGCATGACAACTTAAGACAAGAGAGCAACAGTTTGCGTTATGCTTTGCCTTTCAGCTGTGAAATTTGGAAGGATGTCCAAAAAGCAGAGGGATAGCCTATATGCTGAAGTGCAGAAGCACCAGCAGCGACTGCAGGAGCAAAGGCAGCAGCAGAGTGGTGAGGCAGAAGCCCTTGCCAGGGTATACAGCAACAGCATCAGCAATGGCTTGAGCAACCTGAACAACGAAACTGGTGGCACTTACTCAAACGGACACGTCATTGACCTGCCGAAGTCTGAGGGTTATTACAATGTGGATTCTGCCCAGCCCTCCCCAGATCAGTCTGGGTTAGATATGACTGGAATCAAACAGATAAAGCAAGAACCTATCTATGACCTCACTTCTGTACCAAACTTGTTTACCTATAGCTCTTTCAACAATGGGCAATTAGCACCGGGGATAACCATGACTGAAATAGGTAAGGAAAATCCTCAAGCATTCGTTGCTGTTTGAATGTCATTGTGTTAATGTACATTGCAATTTAGCTGTAACTGGCAGACTACACAACTGGGACATTAGAAAGTATCAGTTCAGAATCACGGGGGTGGCTGCCTAGGGTTTTTGCTGTTGATTAGGTTTACCAAAACCTCAAGTTTCTTAAACTCAGCAATTTGTTAACTGTTTTTTTGAAACTGGAACACCAAAGAAGCTGATGAATCTACCAAAACCAATTGATGATTACTAATAGGCATCTTATTTTAAATGAGCTCATTATGATGAAGGCTTAATGATTTTCTCTGACAGTCATACATATTCTTGTCAACCCAAAGGGCAAGTCCAGATGAGCATGCACATGTGTTTCCCCAGGGACAAATAGCAGTGGCACATAGTTGTGCTGCTGCTACTTGTCTCTGGGGAATGCCTGTGCACTCATGCTCTGGTGTGGGGCAAGTTGCCCTGGGCAGAGCCATCCCGGGGGGTGGGGGAAGGGCGTGACTGCCCCAGGCCCACACTTTCGGGGGCCCTGCAGAGCTGGGTGGAGTGGCCACGGCAACTCTGCACTGCCGCTGTCAGCTTTGCGTCCAGGTGCTCACTATCCCTCGCCAACCTCTGCCGCTGATGCTGCCACTGCAAATGGCAGCAGTAGCTTCTTCGGGTCCCGGATGCACAGGATCAGAGCAGGGGTGGGGCCCCACATGGGCTGATTTGCCCCAGGCCCCACACCCTGCTCGGGTCGGTTCCTGCCCTGGGTAGGGGAGGAGAGGCTGGGGCCTGCACCCAGGCTGGCCCCAGCATCCTTACCTAGGGTCCTGGGGGCCTCCTGGGGCTCCAGGGGTGGCAATCTAGGTGTGCAGAGTCTGGCTGGTAGCCAAAATGTGGCTCCAGCCAGCCAGGCTCCACTTTCAGGCAGCCCACACTGCCACCATGTGTGCCACCGTGCTTTTTTCTGCTATGGGTTTTTTTGACACCAGGATCTCCTGTTGTCAAAAACCCCCTGTCGCAGTGTACTCCGGTGCCCTGCACCTGAGAGCGGGGACTGCTCTGGGGAGACCCCTAGTGGCAGAAAGGGGGAGGCTCAGCTGCCAGTCACCAGGGCTGCACAGGTGCTGGTTGCCGGGACAACTGGTAAAACCAGCTGACCAGGAAGGGGCAGGGCTTATCCCTTCTTAAGCCCAGGTAGGAGGCCAGGAAGGCAGTCCCTCTCCAGCAGCTGTGGAAGTAGGGACTCAGCCCAGACAGACAGAGGGGAGGACTCTGGCCATGAGAGCATCTCCTGGTCACTGCTGAGGTTGGTGGAGCCCTTCTTCCCCCACTCCCTCGCTCTCTAGTAGGGAGTAGATTTTTGTTCGATCGGACGGTCTAGTTTTTATGTTGTAGCCCAGGGACTTTATGTTTTATGTTTACTGTTTTGACCGGAGGATCAGGTGAGGCTAATAGGGGTTGGAGGAGGCCTCAGCGGGGCTCCACAGGGGTGGGGACCCCGGTGACAGTGAGGGCATCGCATTTAGGGGTGCACTACCCCAGCCCTGAGAAGGGGCACAGAGGATGGGGGCCAGGTAAGGACGAGGCTGCCTGAGCCCCCACAGGAGTCGTTGACCCAAGCAGGGGATTTAGGGGCCAGGCACGGCTGTGGCCACCTGAGCCCCAAGTGCAGAGAAAGGCCCTAGTGCGGGCAGAACCCCAGGGAGGGGCGTGCAGGCAAGAAGCCCAGTGAGTGCACAACGTTCAGGGGCCACCGACCCCAGCCCTGTGAAAGGGGCATGGTGGATTTAGGGGCCAGGCATGGCTAAGGCCACCTGAGCCCCAGTTGCAAGGAGCACCAGTGTGGACACTGGCAAGAAGCCGGGAGGGTGCTCATGTTACGCCCCAGGGTAGGCACACATGAATATGCTATAGAGATGAGCCCCAGGGGAGGGCGATCCTATAGAGGCGGGTGCACAGAGAGAGGCCCCGAAGGGGGCGAGCGCACAGAGAAAAGGCCCGAGAGGGCTAGCGAGCAGAGGGGCGCCAGTGAGGGGCGCCGGTTGCGTGACAAGCCCGGGGCGCCAGTGAGGGGCGCCGGTTGCGTGACAAGCCCGGGGCGCCAGTAAGGGGCGCCGGTTGCGTGACAAGCCCGGGGCGCCAATCAGGGCGCAGAAAGAAAACTTATCAGACCACTTCAACTCCATCTGTGAGGCTTGGGCTGCAGTGTAGGGGAGGAAAGGAGCTGCAGGTAGCGCCCCCTGTCATCGGGGTGCAGAAAAATGGGCAGCCTCCTGCTGATTACAACCATCTTCTAATCAAATAAGATCAAGGCGTGGCAGACGAGTAAGCAGGCGGTTGGCCCATTACAGGAAGGTGGAGCCACTCCCAGAAAGGCTCCAATATGGATACTCCTGTCACACCCCCACCATTTTGCAAATTAGCAGTGCGGCAAATGCCTGCATGTGTGGCACATATGGTTTGCAGCGCCACATATGGGTCTGTATCACTGCAAGCTGCCTGTGTGCGCTTGTCTGGACACACCCAAAGAGTCCTGAAAGTGCATTGTTCTAGTATTTTTTTATTAAAATAGCAGCAATCTCTTATCTCAACTACTGTGATATGCATATGGAATGATTTCACTGATCTCCTGATTAACTGTTAGCAGAGGTGTGGCCCAAAGTAAATTGTTATTTGTATACTTGAGATTAACTCAGGGGCAGGCAAAGTCCAGTCTGTGGGCTGGATCGAGCCCATGGCAGACTCCATTTCCCAGCAGCCCCTGCCCGTGTTGCTGCTGCTGGTTTCCATGGAGACCCCAGCAGCACTGAAGCCATGACAGTGCGGGGGCCGGGGTTTCCATGGAGACCAGCCCCAGCAATGCTGGCAGGGTGCATGGCTCGGTGGGGAGCTGCTCCAGGGCTGGGATCTTGCAGTGGTGACAGTATGGTCTGGAGCTGGGGCAGAGCTGGGATCTGCTGCCCCCATGCTGTCACCACCGCAAGATCCCAGCCCCAGCCACTGACGATATCCACCATTTTGCTCATCCCTGGATTAACTGCTTAGATACATTGGATGTACAAATTGCCTAGCTTGCCTTTATCTGCCTTTACTCTGACCAACCCTGCTCCCCATTGTTACTACAGAAAAGGCTGATTCCAGGTGAAAAATAATATTTTCTTGGTCATGCCTTAGAGAGGATTCTTAACTAAATAAAATGGTTCAAATTGACACCTACGCAAAATCACTGGTATTCTGTTCTATATAGAAGGAGGCTGCCTTACTAACTAGAACCATCCCACCACAACCAGTCATGCATATTGCATAGTAGTGGCTTAGAATAATATTAGAGGGTGAGAGGGTGCTTCTCTGACAGGCTTTACATTTTTTTTTAAAGGAGGAAAAAACAGGATAATCACAACATCAATAAAAAATTAATGGATATAGATTCTCAAAAAATTCTTGAATTCTGCGCCTGCACTGGATATATCACATGTGCATATTGCCTTGACTTGTATGAATATATCTTGATGAATATAACTGTGGCACATGACTATATCTCTATCTCAAGGTGTGTGGGATGGGAACAAAAGAAAAGCAACACTGAGCAGGCAGCATCTTAGGGTCTTTACACACATTCAGGGAGGTTAGAGCGAGTTAAAAATGGCCACTTACAGTACCATAGGAAGTTTGGCACCCAGGGCAAGCCCACGATGGCAGCCTGCCCTCACCCTGCGCACAGATCCAGAGAGCACCCCCCATGCTTCCCCAAGGTTCAAGGGCAGCTCCCCTTGTCCCTGCACCCTCCCAAACAAGCTTCACACAGCTCTATCCTGCACCCCACCCTGGCCAACACCTGTTGGTGCCCCTTCACTTGGTGCCCAGGGCAGTCATCCCATTTCCCCCCCCCCTTGATAGGGTACTGGCCACCCAATCTAAGTCAGGATGGGAGTGCTATCAGGGAGGTATCAGGGGGCAAGCAAACTTCATAGGGGGAAATGAGGGAGATCAGGGGGACAAGCGGGGTCTGCAGGGGGGATTGTAGGGTTGGTAAGGCTAGCAGGGTCTGCAGGGGAGATCGGGGGGCATGCAGTGTCTTTCAGAATGATTAGGAGGTCTACTGGTATCCACAAGGGGGTGGTTTGTGGGGACCAGGAGGGTTTAGCAGGATTGGGGGGCCATGTGGGGAATGAAGGGACCTTGGATGGATCAGGATGGCCAGCAGAGTCCATGGGGTGACGTTGGTGGAATCTGGGAGATTTTGGCAGGATCAGGGGAGCTAGCTGGATCTGCATTGAGGTCTTGGGGGGATGAAGGGCACACTTCCCCCAAAGCAGAGGCTGTTTTTAGTCCCCTAATCCCGTCCACCCCAGATGAACTTCCCCTCCAGTCCACCTACCCCCACCCAAGCTCACCTGCCCCTCCCCCCACTTCAACTTACTTTGTCTCTCAGCACCAGGAGTGGCTTTCAGGATGGGGGGTTTGGCAGGCATGGAGCTGGCTCGTCCTCAGTGGGATGTTGTCCATCTGGAGGAAGGGTCAGGGGGCCAAAAAATCGTGTGGTATCAGGGGGATGGGTAGGAAAAGTGCAGCCCCAAAGCTGGGACCAGTAGCTGGACTTTCTCAGCCCTGGGGCTGCTCTGAGAACTGTAGAGAAGTTCAATTAGATCAGACTCACTGGACCTGATCTAAGTTAGACTACCTTTGAGGTACACTTAACTTAGATCAGGTTGGCCAACTTTAGACTGATCTAAACTTTCTGAACTTCTGTACAGTTCACACTAAGACCTCTAGTTAGGTCAGTGTAAAGGTAATGTCCACACCTAGGTGAACTAAGTTAAATTGGGTGGCCATTTTTAATGTGATCTAACCTCCCCCTAACCTCCCTGAACATCTGTACCTAGCCTTGGTATATGTGATGTGTTTATTATATAAAGAGGGACCTTCCAATTAGAGTTAAGATGCTGCTGTAATTTGTCCTGTCATTCTGTCTGCTACCCATTTGTTTAGAAAAAA